TCTGTCGAGGCCTTACAAATAGCTGAGAAAAGAACAGAAGCAAAAAAAAAAAAAAAAAAACCAAAAAAAAAAGAAGAAGAGAAGCAAAAGGCAGAGGAGAAAAGGAAAGATACACCCATTTGAATGCAGAGTTCCAAAGAATAGCAAGGAGAGAAAAGAAAGTCTTTTTCAGTGATCAATGCAAAGAAATAAAGGAAAACAATAGAATGGGAAAGGCTAGAGATCAATTCAAGAAAATTAGAAATACCAAGGGAACATTTCATGCAAAGATGAGAACAATAAAAGACAGAAATGGTATGGACACAAGAAAAGCAGAAGATAATAAGAAGTGGCAAGAATACACAGGAGAACTGTACAAAAAAGATCTTCATGACCCAGATAATCACAATGGTCTGATTATTCACCTAGAGCCAGACATCCTGGAATGTGAAGTCAAGTGGGCCTCAGGAAGCATCACTATGAACAAAGCTAGTGGAGGTGATGGAATGCCAGTTGAGCTATTTCAAATCCTAAAAGTTGATGCTGTGAAAGTACTGTCCTCAACATGCCAGCAAATTTGGAAAATTCAGCAGTGGCCACAGGACTGGAAAAGGTTAGTTTTCATTCCAATACCTAAGAAAGGCAATCCCAAAGAATGCTCAAACTACTGCACAATTGCACTCATCTCACACCCTAGCAAAGTAATGCTCAAAATTCTCCAATCGAGGCTTCAACCGTATGTGAACCGTGAATGTTCCAGATGTTCAGGCTGGATTTAGAAAAGGCAGAGGAACCAGAGATCAAATTGCCAACATCTGCTGGATCATCAAAAAAGCAAGAGAGTTCCAGAAAAAGATATATTTCTGCTTTATTGACTATGCCAAAGACTTTGACTGTGTGGATCACAAGAAACTGTGGAAAATTCATAAAGAGATGAGCATACCAGGCCACCTAACCTGCTTCCTGAGAAATCTGTATGCAGGTCAAGAAGCAACAGTTAGAACTGGACATGGAACAACAGACTGGTTCCAAATAGGAAAAGTAGTATGTCAAGGCTGTATATTGTCACCCTACTTATTTAACTTATATGCAGAGTACATCATGAAAAATGCTGGGCTGGAATAAGCACAAGCTGGAATCAAGATTGCTGGGTGAAATATCAATAACCTCAGATATGCAGATGACACCACCCTTATGGCAGAAAGCTAAGACGAACTAAAGAGCCTCTTGATGAATATCAAAGAGGAAAGTTGGCTTAAAGCTCAACATTCAGAAAAATAAATCATAGCATCTGACCCCATCACTTCATGGAAAATAAATGGGGAAATAGTGGGAACAGTGACAGATTTTATTTTGGGGGCTCCAAAATCACTGTAGCTGGTGATTGCAGCCATGAAATTAAAAGATGTTTCCTCCTTGGAAGAAAAGTTATGACCAACCTAGACAGCATACTGAAATGCAGAGACATTACTTTGCCAATCAAGGTCTGTCTAGTCAAGGCTATGGTTTTTCTAGTAGTCATGTATGGATATAAGAGTTGGACTCTAAAGAAAGCTGAGTGCTGAAGAATTGATGCTTTTGAATTGTGGTGTTGGAGAAGACTCCTGAGATTCTCTTGGACCATAAGGAGACCCAATCAGTCCATACTAAAGGGAATCAGTCCTGAATATTAATTGGAAGGACTGATGCTGAAGCTGAAACTCTAATACTTTGGCCACCTGATGCAAAGACCTGACTCATTTGAAAAGACCCTGATGTGGGAAAGATTGGCGGCAGGAGGAGATGGGGACAGCAGAGGGTGAGTTGGTTGGATGGCATCACCTACTCAATGATCTTGAGTTTGAGTAAGCTCTGGGAGTTGTGATGGACAGGGAGGCCTGGTGTGCTGCAGTCCAGGGGGTCTTAAAGAGTCGGACACCACTGAGAGAATGAACTGAACTGAACTGAGCAAGCATAAAAGGAAATGTGAAGGATTATATACACCTTTTTTCCCCAAGTAAAGGGAGATAATCTTCTTTTAGGAGATAATATTCTTAATGTTGAAAATGATTTTTTGCATGAGTGATGCATGCACATTCAAGAAATATAAATAATTTGATGGAATGTGTCATAACTGTTTATCAAAAGATGATGAACTGGCCTTAACACAGTTTTCTTAACAGGCCAATGTGTTTTTTAAGATGCACTTGAGCAAAGTTAATATACATTTTCATCCCAATTCCATTTTGTGGCACAATTCCATTTTGCCCATTTCCATTTTGTGGCACAGCAAGGATAGTTTCATGAACTCCACAAGCACATCTTCAACTTTGGTCTCTGTGCTCAGTTCCCAAGTGTTTATAGCTCAGCTTCAAGGCAAGTTTTATTTCTGATTTTTTTTTTGCCTAGAATGGCTTTCCCCAGTGCTTTGGCCAGTCATTACCCACCCCAGGCTGGCAACTGACTACACTGATGGCTATGTTATGCATGGAATCTTCCACTGTCCCAATTGATAAGGCCAAAGGTCCAGGGGAGTTAATAGTTGCTTATATATCCCTATTAACAAGATGCAGGTTTAGACACCTTCCTTCATTGTGAAGCTCTAAATGCATATTCTCTTCCATTAAGAAAGGTTATATATACAGATGAATATACAAATTTTGACAGTGCAGCATTTTTCAATGATATCTTATTCCCTGTTGTCCATATATCATTTGTTGTAGTTTGGCCACTAAGTCATGTCCAACTCTTTTGTGAGCCCATAGTCTATAACCTGCCAGGCTCCTCTATCCATGGAATTTCCCAGGCAAGAGTACTAGAGTCGGTTGTCATTTCCTTCTCCGGGGCATCTTCCCAACTCGGGGATCAAACCTGTGTTTCCTATGGCTCCTGCATTGGCAGGCGTAATCTTTACCACTGAGACACCAGGGAAGCCCTCCATACATCATAGGCAACTTTTTTGAGAGATATCCTAGGAGCGTCCACGCAATACTTTTGATTCCCTTTGACTGATTGTTACAGTGCTTCTTTAGACAGGTGATGAAGCCAGACACTGTTCTTTGTTTCCTTCTTCTCACCTATTGCAGATGTTCCCTCTACAGTTCACAGCTTTAAAAATAATACTGAATTTTTTCTTTTGGTGAGATGAAAAACTCTCTTTCATGATATAAAATTTTAGAAAAAGTAATCTTACTGAACTCTTCCTAATGATGCTGTTTTGTACATTATTCTTTTTTAAAAAGAGAAGAGACTCTCAAATGACATTTGGTGATGTTCTGACAGCTAATGAGGGAGATTTTATGATTCTGAGGACTTTCCATGTCACTGAGGCTGTTCTAGGATTCTGACTGATTTTTCGTTTTTAAGGCCCCCTTTTGTTAAAAAGTACAACTTGTTTTTGTACAATATTAAAATTCCATTAGCTATCCAAAGAGATGGTTGAGAGTTGCCTAATTCATCCTTCTAGACAGGTCATAAAATCCTTTTAGTCTTTTTAGAGAATATTAAACTATATAGCATCCAACCATGAATCAGGCATTTGCCATAGTGAAACGGAAAGAATAGGGGTTATTTTAATGTAGAATTGCAAAGAGACAAGGCTTTTTTTTTTTTTTTTTGTAGGTTATATCAATTTACTTCATGTAACAGCGTATTTTGGGCCTATGATTTCCATTTAATATCAACAAAAACAATTTGTACAGAAAACCCCAAGGCAACCATATAGCATAATATGTAAAATGTGCAAATAGACTTTAAAATGCAAGTTATTCTATAGCATTTGCAAGGCAGAACTTTATAGTAAATTAAGGAACACTACCTCTTTCTAGCCGACTGAATAACACTCTGCAAGGAGAGGCCACTGCAAATGTACAAGGCACAACTTAGTGCTGGTGCTCAAGTGTGTAACACACCCCCTCAGATTATTTATTTGAGGGCATTAAAACAACATAAAATCATGTTTGCATTTTATTATTTAAGGAGACTATCAGCTCATTTCTGAAGCTTCATGAAACATTATACTGATAACATATGTGTGGTCAGAACAAGCTGTTCCCTGAACTAAAAGGTCAAAGACAAGACTCTAGCTTTCCTATATTTAAAAAATTTATATATATATATATATATATATACACACACACACCCCAATATCACAGACAAGAAACTTTCCATAATCCAAAGGGAGGCCGTTTGTTCCTTTAAGTAAAGGTTCCCATACAGTATTTCATGACAGAATTATTTAAAAAGTACATATTTATTCACCACCTGTTTTGGTCAATATTGCTACAAAAAGACATTGAAAGATACAATTTTCTTCTTCAAAATAAAGACAATGCCGAACTGAGAGAGTCATTCTCTAAAGATTGCACAGTGAAAGGTATTACTTAGTTAAATATAAAAAAGCTTGCAGCTTTTATAGAAACTATTTAAATCTACATGGAGAAAAAATGTCAACCTATCAAAAATCAATCAGACCCTTGGCTACAACACAGTTAAGAACCTTTGAAGCCTGATCACATGCTCTCTGCTGTTTTACTGCCCATCCCTGAGAGTAAAGCATTTAACATTTTTTTAGTAAAGCAAATAAATCTTACTTTGACAAGAATGATGCTTAAGATTTTTTTTTTCAAAATATGAAATAAGCCCCATTTCATTTTAGTTGGAAAAAAAAAAAGAATGCTCTTTGCAAAGACCACTATTCCTAACAATCTAAAATATTTGTATGTCAATCAATTTTAATTTTTTTTTTACTGGGTAATTTCTATTTTTCTGCTATTTATATATCACTCATTTTGTTTTTTTCCCTGTTTTTGTATATCATTCATTTTCTTATGGCCCATTACTTTATAATTTTTGTTAACAGGAGGATTTAATTGGAAATGGAGCAAAAGTACAAATAAAACTTAAAGGAATGCTGAAGTGAGATCTCTATTTTCCTGTGGTAAAAGAGTTTTATCAGAAATAATCTGACTGCCATCCAGGAAAAGCAAAACTGCCCATGAAAGAGAACACACATGGTAAGTGTCTTCCTTGCTGTCTCTGGTCTAGCCTTCTTGGCCAAAGTCTTCTGTAAACTTCTTTAGTTTCAACAGGTCGTGTTCGTTGATTGTGGGCTTAGTGCTGGACAGCGACCGTAACATGTCCGACATGCAAACAACTGGCTCCAAAAGTTTATCCCCAGGGACATCCATCCACGTCATCTCAATGGCACCAGGGTCGCCTGGAGAGCAGGGCGTTAGCAGGTCATCTACTATGTTGTTAGGATCAGCTCGTGAAGGTCCTCGAACCTTTTTAAAATGAGTAGCTGACTGTACTTTCCTAACTGGCTGCATAAGTGCGTCCCGTACAATGATACTTATGTCTGCCCCTGAATAACCCTCAGTTTTCTTTCCAAGGTCCCGGAAGTCTGCTTCTGTCAGACTGTTCTGAGTGGCCCCCAAGTGCAGTTTAAACATTGCTGCTCGGGCATGGGCCTCAGGCAAAGGAATGTAAATTCGTTTCTCAAACCTTCGCCTAATGGCAGAATCCAGAACCCAGGGTATATTTGTAGCTCCCAGAACCAAAATTCCATCATTGTCCACGCCAACCCCTTGCATCTGAACTAGGAATTCTGTCTTAATTCTTCTTGCAGCTTCACTTTCATTTTCACTTCTTGAACCACACAGAGAATCGATTTCATCAATGAAGATAATCGAAGGTTTATTCTCTCTGGCAAGTTGGAATAAGTTTTTAACTAGCTTTTCACTTTCACCCAGCCACTTAGAAACAAGGTCAGAGGAAGATATTGAGAAAAATGTTGAGTTGTTTGCTTCTGTGGCTACAGCTTTGGCTAAATAGGATTTTCCTGTTCCAGGTGGCCCAAATAACAGGATTCCCCTCCAAGGCGTTCTCTTGCCTATAAAGAGATGAGGAAATTTGATAGGCAATATCACGGCCTCTTTCAGAGCTTCTTTAGCTCCTTCCAGACCAGCAACATCGCTCCACTTCACATTGGGTCGCTCCATAACAATGGCACCTTGAAGCTGATTCTGCAGTTTCTTTTTTTCGGGATCATCAGATTCTCCTTCCCCATCACTGTCATTCCCCTTCTCTTCGGCGGGGGCCGGCTGCCCCTCCTTCACTGGCTTCTGGGGCTTCGTCTCTCTCTTCTTCAGGTACTCCTTCAGCTTCTCGGCTCTGTCAAGATACTCTGTACACTTCGCCCTGATACTTTGCTTGGCTTTATCACCTTGTGCTTCATATTTAACCACGTGGAGAAAATACTGTACAGCATGCTGGTAAAGCTGAAGGGCTTCCTCGTAGTTCCCGGCTTTATCTTCCTGGGCCGCTTTGCTGGCAAGATCTATGGCTTTCTGCAGGTTGGTCGGGGTGGACGCCATGGCGGAGACCCGAGGCGGCTCCCCGGGGAGGGCCGGGGGCGGAGGCAGGCCACAGGGCGACGTCGACTCACACCTGGAGCGGCCCGAACGCACGCAGGCCGGCGGCTTGGAATCTCGCGGCTGCCTCCCTCGGGAACCTGTTCGGAAACCACCCGGCACTCAGACTGCGCCCGACCCTCCCCACGGAGCTTCCGTGATCCCAGCCCCCAGCGCCGGCCTAGCATCCTGCCTCGAGACAAGGCTTTTTGATTTAAATCAAATGTGATATGGTATAGGAAGTGGTTTGCATGAAATTTTTTCAGAGGAGTAATAAACACTTGTTGTTTCACCTCTGGATGAGAAATTCATTTTTCTCCATGGTTTATAGTGGACTGTGTATACACTACTACTTATCTATTAGCCCTGCTAGCCTATTTCTCAAGGTTGGTGAGTAATGCTGCTGCTGTTGTTTCTCCTAAATGTGATCTACAGGACTTTTTGCACCAACACTGGCCTTTCCTCCACCAACTCATTGCTTCAGATGGTGGGGGCAGGACCCGAGGACAAGGGGAGTCAGGTGGAACCTCTGATTCCTCTGAGCACATCTCTACAGTTAGTCCCTCCCAACTCACTGTGGAGGTGGCTCTGAAATTTTTTCAAAGTACTCTAAAACCTGACTTTGCCTTAGAATTACAAATAACAATTATGAAAGAGAGATAAAAATGATATAACTCGTGCAGCCCCTTGTTGGTCAGGTGATTTTTGTTTTTAGACATCTTCCGTTGTCATTTTATGTCTGAGTTTTGTAAGTTGAACAATCTACACACTTTTCATATTTAATTCTGGAACATCAGTGATAGTTCTTGAGTATGTTTATTTCTTGACTTAAAGTTCACCCTATCCATAAGAGCTTCTTTCTGTAACATACCTGAGAATTCTGAAGAAATATCAGTCGGTCCTGTGCCATGAGAATTATTTATACATTGACCTATCAATACTGAGTGTTATTTACTGCTCTTTATGGTTTGAAAGATAATTAATATTGAATGGTTTTTATTTTTAAAACATATTGCATAATTCTGTACTTTCTCCTTTAAGTCTTAAAAATGCCTTCACTAGCACATTTTTTAAGACATTTTTTAGTTAACTGTATTTTGTTTCTGACAAATAAACAATAGCAGTCATAATGAGAGTAATGTCACCTTCACAAATGTAGTTTCTTTATATTAATTCCATGCCCTTTTCATATGTTTTCATTAATCAACCTGCAGTGACATTTTAACTGAGTGATTTTAAGGCTAGTATTAATTTCACAATCCTTTAAAAATTTTCTTTCTTCAATAATTGTTTTTACACATAAATAACATTGTCAGTCTTTTACTTCCTTTTCAGATTAATATTTAAATAGCCTAGAGAACTGTGAAATTGTCTGTTCTTTGTCTCTGGATTGACTGAAGATTCATGTGACTGTGGACTGTGTATATATCAATTCAGTTTCATCCTTTGCCTCTGTGGATTTTGTTTGGAGATAGTTCAGCAAGTGTGGATAGACACACTTGAGCTCAGTAATACTTTGTCTTCCCTAAGTGATAAATTTCAGTTAAATTATTGCTGCTTTAAAAGATAGCCTCATGCTATTTCATGTTTTCAGTGACTGATTGTGAAGAAACATTGAGGGTTTTTCCAGCCTGTCACATGTCGACCTGACATTTTCTGCCTTACTCTGTAGCTTCTGATTTTCCTTTGAAACCACTTAGAAAAAAATTGAAATAGTTCTTAGGTTTTAAGAATCATATTTCTTTGCTTTTCATTTATTTTGTTTTTAAAGGCTTGTCCACTACTTGATTGGCTTCAGTCGGGAAACCTGATGTCCATTCAGCCTCATTAGTAACTACTCATTTTTTTAATTTTACATCACATCATCTTCATGAACAATGACGGTGGCTAATTCATATCTTGTACACTAAATGTCTAGCATGATGCCTGTAAGTTAACAGGTGGCCAAATATGTATTTATTGGTGTTCAGGACTATTGTTGTGGGTATTATCTGTGCATGTCACAAATACAGTGGTCAGCTGGTAATCAATACTTGACAGTCACATAGTTTCCTCTATACTTAGATCTGTGATGACAATGATAGAGAGTTTTCTAAGTCATCTGCTACCTAGTCATATATCAAGCACTCAGTGAGTATGTATTAGATAAATAAAGGCCATATTTTGATCTTAATTTTGGTCATAACATCAGGCTCTTGTTACTTTGAGTTCATGTTAGTATTATTTTGCATTTATATAGCAACATGTGTGCATGTGCATGTGCGTGCAGTCACTTCAGTTGTGTCTGACTCATTGAGACCCAATGGACTGTAACCCACCAGGTTCCTCTGTCCATGGGATTCTCCAGGCAAGAATACTGTTGTGAGTTGCCATGCCCTTCTTTAGGGGATCGTCCTGACCCAGGGATTGAAACTGCATTTCCTGAAGCTCCTGCATTAGAGGCAGATTCTTTACAGCTGAGCCACTGAGGGAGCCCCATATAGTGGCAAACCGATAACTAACTCCGTAAATTTCGCTAAAAGTTATCATTGCTTGTCATACTCACAATGTAAATTTCTATTGTAAAATTGAAGAAATAAAGGATGGCTTTAAAAGTAATATTTTGGCTTTTCATCTCTCTTGAATTAGTAGGTTGGCACCTCTTCTCTGACAGCTCAGCTGGTAAAGAGTCCACCTGCAGTGCAGGAGACCATGGTTCAACTCCTGGGTCTGGAAGAGCCACTGGAGAAGGGACAGGCTACACACTCCAGTGTTCTTGGATTTCCCTGGTGGCTCAGCTGGTGAAGATTCTGCCTTCCATGTAAGAGACCTGGGTTCAGTCCCTGGGTGGGGAAGATTCCCTGGAAAGGCAATGGCTACCCACTCCAGTATTCTGACCTGGAGAATTCCATGGGGTGGCAAAGAGTTGGACATGACTGAGCAATTTTCACTTTCAATTTCTTTCACCCTTTCAGTTCAGTTCAGTTAAGTTCAGTCGCTCAGTTGTGTCCGACTCTTTGCGACCCCGTGAATCGCAGCACACCACGTCTCCCTGTTCATCACCAACTCCCAGAGTTTACTCAGACTCATGCCCATTGAGTCAGTGATGCCATCCAGCCATCTCACCTTCTGTCGTCCCCTTCTCCTCCTGCCCCCAATCCCTACCAGCATCAGGGTCTTTTCCGATGAGTCAACTCTTCACATGAGGTGGCCAAAGTATTGGAGTTTCAGCTTCAACATCAGTCCTTCCAATGAACACCCAGGACTGATCTCCTTCAGGATGGACTCGATGGATCTCCTTGCAGTCCAAGGGGCTCTCAAGAGTCTTCTCCAACTCCAACTTCACCGCTTACCATGAGCTTAATGATTGTGTCTCCCCAAAATCCATATGTTGAAATATTAACCTTCAGGATGATAGTGTTAGGAGATGGGGCCTTTGGTAGGTAATTAGGTCATGAGGGTGAAATCCTCAAGAAACACTGAGGGCTTTATCAGCCTGTCATATATCAGTATGTCACACATCAGCCTGATGTTTCCTGCCTGACTCTGTAGCTGCTGACTGTCCTTCAAAACCATGAGAGAGTTGCATCACCCCTGTCTCTTCTCTGCCATGTGGAGATACAGTGAGTGTGGTCATATGAAAGCTAGGAAGAGTGCTCTTACCTGACCCTGGGTTTTTAGCCATCTTGGTCTTAGACTTCTAAGCTCCAGAACTGAGAGAAATAAATGTTTGTTGTTTAAGTCAACCAGCTGTGGTGTTCTGCTACAGTAGCCTTAACTAATGCAGTCCTTCATCCTCTGTAAATTGACCTCTGCATCCAGACTAAACTTTTCCTTTATAGCGGGAATGCCCATCACAGAATTTCTAGTGTCCTGTGTGTGTGCTCAGTCGTTTCAATCATGTCCAACTCTTTGTGACCCCATGGACTGTAGTCCACCAGACTGCTCTGTCCATGGGCTTCTCCAGGCAAGAATACTAGAACGGGTTGTCATGCCCTCCTCCAGGGGATCTTCCTACCCAGGGATGGAGCCCACCTTTCTGATGTCTCCTGCATTGGCAGGTGGGTTCTTCACCACTAACACCACCTGGGAAGGTCCTAATTAAGCTCAAGATAGATGGTTGCTTTTGCAACTACTACAAAATGGTGACTACTACAAAAACAAAAGGGTTTTTGCTCCTTCCTAAAGAATAAAATACAAAATTTAGCAACTTTAGGTATAAGAAAGAGTACAAAAGATAGATGAGAAAGATGGAGGTGACTCAGTGAGACTTGCTGCTACCCTGTAATCCCATGCTAACATGATGGATTGCTTTTTAAGCCAGCTGTGTTCATTAAAGCTTCTGGAGGCTTTAGGACCAAGTAAAATACCACCTTGTTTTTCAAAAGAGCCATTCACCCTCTTCCTCCCTACACACCATGACACAGCTTAGGGGTGCATAGTAGGCAATAGTAACAAGCTTCACCAGGAAACAGTGACAAGGTATCTTAACCAGTAGGTCACAGTCAGAGAACAGGGTAGATTTCTTTGCAAGCACATGTGTCCCAGGATGCTGTGGATATCCCAAAATTACTAAGACAATTTTGAAGATAGAATCTAAATTATTTGGGGGAAAAAGAAGCCATTAGAGACTGATATTAAAGACTTAGAGAATTTGAATCAAACCAGGACGAGATTATAGAGTAGTTCAAAGCTACCACTGCTGTTTCCTGAATCAGCCTCCAAAGTAGCTGAGAAAGACAACTGGATCTTACCAGGAAAACAATGATACAGTGCTTATATAACTAATATACGGCTTTCCTAGTGGTTCAGCTGGTAAAGAATCTGCCTGCAATATACGAGACCTGGGTTTGATCCCTGGGTTGGAAAGATTCCATGGAGAAGGGAATGGCTACCCACTCCAGTATTCTGGCCTGGAGAATTCCATGGAATGTGTCGTCCATGGGGTTTCAAAGAGTTGTACAGGACTGAGCAACTTTCGCTTT